GCAGTCGTTAATCTCGGATCCATTTCGATGCTCCTCTTGACAGTCCTTTTTGTCCTTTCCGATGGACCAGGACGACCCGGACGCTGCTCAGTTGTTTCCTTGCCGTGTTTCTTGAACTGCACGATGATTCTTTGACTATCAAAAGTGGAATTCCCAAATTCTGCAATATTTGCCGCTGACTTATTCCACCATCTGCTTGACCAACTATCCTTCCTCTAACAAAATCTGACATTTCGAGAGAACCTTGAGTTCTAGGCATGTTGTAGCTCAAGATAATTAGTGTGCGGACCATTTTCATTTATATAGTGCTCTAAGACACCTAATTTTTCGTCATTTAACTGATTTATGCTAACTAATTTGTGTTCAATTTACTTGTGACCACTCAAGTAAATTTTATTTATATCATGATATTATTAAATCTGCAAATTTCCTTTAAGAGATTACAGTAACCAGCTAATATACTTTATTGTTGAAATATTACCTTATATCACAGTTACAATACTTTATATTTATTATCTTAAACTATTTTTTAAAATGTAACTTTACATTTTAGTCTTTTAACGCTTCAAAATTTTCAGTATTAATCTTAATATGCACAATTTGAGTCCATTTTCTTAATTTCCAGTATAAGCTGTCTTGATAGTTTAGTATAACATTGAAAATTTTGTATATTTTTTTGAAGTTTCTGGGCAGTAAGTATGAAAATACTTCAATAGTAATTGTAGTAACTGTTTCAGGGCCATATAAAACTCTCTGATTTTGGACTGTGTACAGGATTGAAAAAGTCACATAGGACTGAATTCTACAGGGATCTATCCCAAGCTAAGCCAAGTGATTTCAGTAAGCATTTTTTTTAACAATGTGTGATTAAGCATTTAAAAGAGAACATTTGAAGTTAGATATATATGTCAATATTAATCTTTATTGTGAGCTTTGGTACAAGTCAAAGTAGCAGCAAACCTGGAAAAGTCCAAGAACATTGTACTTCACTATCCTTTTATTGAATATCTTGTTATCTCGGGACCTGTAAGTGCATTCCAACAATACTGCTTAGCAATGCAAATTATTGGTATGTCTTAACATAATCATGGTCAGTCACTGTGTGAAATTTTATTTGGTGATTCATTGTATTTGAAGGTAGGTTAGATGTATGGACAGTTAACTTTAATTTTTAATTAATCTGTTAAAAGTGGTAAGGTGCTGATTTTTTAATGGAGAGATAGACAATCTCCATGTGATTACATGTTAGTGAGTTTTACTTCAGTGGTTAAGAAGTTATTAGTTTACTCTATAATTAAAGAAATTCCACAAGACTATATAAACAAATTTCATATTATCACAGATACTCAACATGGACTTGTGTCCTGCAGTCTGATCTTCATGTAATTTTTTTATGAAAATATGATCTGGATTTATGATTTTCAAACCTTTAACAATCATGCCTTACAAAGTTGCTATTTTTATTTGAAAATGTTCATTTAATCTGGATATGGGTAATGTAGCAGATTTGATGGACTCTCTGAAAGATTTTTTTATAAGGTGACACATAACAGAAATCTTATAAAATGGATTGAAAGTTGGTTGGGTTAACAGCTTGTAGAAGATGTTTTAATATTAAGATGCCGGTTAGACCTCATTTGGAATGCTATGTTAGGTTTTAGTCATCTTATTTAAGAAAGGTTGTTGATTTATTTGAGAGGGTTCAGAGAAGAGCTACTAGGATGATTCCAGGTTGTATGCTAAATCTTGTTATCTTGTGATTGGTTGAAATCTCTTGACATGTTTTTGATGTGAGAAGAGAAGGGCACGAGGGGGCATTATTAAGTACTTTTAAGAGTGTTAAAGGTTTGGAATTCATAAATCCAGATTACATTTTCATTTAAACAATTGCAGGTAGGTAATGAAACAAGCTAGTGAAAAACCATTTAGAAAAGAAGTGGTTCCTTATATAACAACTTCTAATATATAGAAAAGTCAGTACATTTTGGTAACAATGCATTCCAACAATGACTTTTATGCTAAAATGGGTTCAGAATACACACACTGACATAGACATCTAGAGTATATCAACCTAATAACTCGAGCAAAGCTGGGTACTTTCACTAATTTCATATAAATGAATTCTGGACTTTAAATATAGTTCCATTAAAACCAGTGAAGTGAAAGATGAGAATTCCAGTAGGTTCATAGCTGTTTTGATTGAATTAGAGTTCAAAGAAGTAATGATTTATTTATAATTGTAGAATATTTTTGACTGTATAATTTTAAGTCTTATTTACTCTTGTGTATAAAACTATTGGCATTATTTCTGTTAAAACAGGTTGTCAGATAAGAGAAGATGACTGTGTAATTTATTTTCATTGAAATAAAACATTTTTTCTAATGAAGTAAACAACTTAATTGAATAAATTGGAGTTAAACATTAACTACTGATTATTGCTTAAATATTATACATAATTGATTATAATATAAGTATTTTAAGCTAATGATTAGTGTATAGTACAATTTTTATGTATTTATTTCTTTTAATTTCAAATCAGCATCAAATCCAATGGATTCTAAGAGAAGAGCAGAAAGCTGGAAAAAGAACAGGAGACAGCTGGTGAGTTGCACATTATTTCCAATTGTTCTGTACAGAAGATACACCTGTATACGGTGAGACATAACAGTATGAATGAATGCACTTCAACATGACAGTATAGAGAAATCCACTCCAACATTGAAAGTACATATGAATTCACTCCAATGTGACAGTACAGATGAATGCACTTGTTGAAAACTTAATTACAATACTTTTGGTGATAGGCTAAGCATATAGAGCTAAAATTAGGAAGAAGAGTCTACTGATGCAGCACCAAGAAAAAACCCATAAAGCAAGAACTATGATATCTTTGTATTACCTTAAGATCCAAAGACAAATAAGAACCATTAGGATCAAGATAAAGTTAGACTCAGCACGAAATGCTACTATCATCCTTGTATGATCATACGCCCATTGATTAAATAATAGCTAGCATGTGTTACATCAAATCTTTCTTCAGAAAGTAGGTAGGAGTATCCCTTGTTACTTAAACATCTGAGACAAATAAGAACCAGTGGTTTTCTTGCATCTTATTAATATCTTCAGAAAGTGAATACCAGAATTGTGTTACATTAGGCTTGTGAGTTGGATATTAATGAGCACGTACTCTATGAAGCATGTACTAATAAGTTATAACCTTGTTATAACCTTTACAGAAAGCTGATAGTGACCTTGATCTTAAGATGAATAGGAGCCTTTAGAGTCCTTTACTAAGAATTATACCCTTTAGGAATCATATTCCAGTTATCCTATTTTACTCTAACCTACTACAAAGACAAACAGAAGACAGCTAGATATTAATACCCTTAACTATCTTGGGATAAAGAGTAAGGTTATGTACCTTGTTAGACTAATAAAAGAATGTATTAATAACCATGTGTAGTTTTCAGTTTCTAGGTTGAATAAGATCTTGAATCATTTAAGGTTTTGCACGAAGCAGATACTAGAGCCTTGTGTGAACTAAATTTGTCACGACCATCCTGTTTTATACAAGAACGTTACAGTCAGTCTTATTCTACCACACCTTTTCACTAATATATATGTATCATATTTGTGGTTGTATATTATATTAAAAGCTTTACAGTTTGGATTTCATTAAAGATTTATAGCTCATTTAATTTGTATTTTTAGGCTTATTCAACTGTTGGAACACCTGACTATATTGCTCCCGAAGTTTTTATCAAAAGTGGCTATAGTAATGCCTGTGATTGGTGGTCCTTGGGAGTCATTATGTATGAGATGCTGATAGGTATTAATAATCCCTTTATTTAAATTTAAAAGTAGAAGATTGTTTGTTTGTTTGTTATATCATTTGTGGTAAATAATAAAAAATAATTTAACAGTTGTTTTTTATAGCATGCACATTATTCAAAAATTTAGCATAGTTTTTCACTACTATTGTAATTCAATAACGTTTTTCAGTGAATAATTTTCATACATGATATACATTGTATAATTGAAAAATGTTTTTAATTGGTTTTAACATTTTTTCCATATATACGTGAAGCTTCTTTTGTTTCTAGTAGCATTGTTTCTCAATATTTAGTGTGATTTTTACATTTGTAGAAGAGACTTGTATTCTACATTTAGATAATTATATATTTTTCTAAAAGGGGTTGGAAATTTCTTAGCTAAGTTGCATCAATAATCACTATAAAAAGGTAAAGACTCAAAACATCAAGCATTTTATTCCTTAAAGCTCAGCCTTAATTGTTTATTTTTACATGTGTGTGTACATACACAAATAAAATTTCCATTAAGAAACTTTTTGCAAAGCTCTTGTAGATAAGGTATTTAAAATACTATTTATTTTTTCCTTTCTAGGCTACCCCCCTTTCTGTTCTGAAACACCCCAAGAAACGTACAGAAAAGTGATGAACTGGAAAGATACCTTGGTATTTCCTCCAGAAGTACCTATCTCCAATGAAGCAAAAGACTTGATTCAGAGATTCTGTAGTGAAGTTGATCGAAGAATTGGCTCTACTGGTGGTATTGTGGAAATAAAACAGCACACTTTCTTCAGGGGCGTTGATTGGGAACACATTTGGTATGTGGGGAAATCTTAAAAATAATTAGGGATAAAATGTACATGTAAGTTCATGATTGCTCGGTATTTAGTGGAGTATATTTTTGTTTTAGCTCAAAAATATTTCAGATTTATAGATATATGACACAGTTAGTGCACTATTGTTGTATCTTTGTTTCAGAAATTTAAAAACTGTTAATTTGTACATTATTTTTTTCTATATATGTTCTTGATGATAATAAGACCTAATGAAAATGATTTAGTTAAGAGTTTTTAAGAATGGAAACCTCATGAGTTTCATAAAACTAAACATATGGACAATATAATTCTATAGCAAATGGTACGTATTATTGTTGGGTTACATGCTTATCATGTACTTAATAAATACTTTAGACTATGAAAGTATAAAGGTGCTGGGTAATAATTTATTGTTTAAAGTGAGCAGTCTCATAGCTTCCTAATGATATGAGAAAAATGTTTTGTTGAGCTCCATTGATACACAAAATAGAATGCAAGGAAATTTATTATATTATTTATATTCATTTTAAAAAGTAATTAATGTCTCAAGAAACAATAAACTTACTTAGAAAAAGAGTTAATTACTGTGCAGTAGTTAAAAAACATTTGGTCTAGCTTACTCTGGAACATTGTGGTTGATTATAAATTTACAATTGATTTTGGGTACATCCTAAATTTCATATAATTTATTCAAATAATAAAACAAAGCTTTGAGATATCAACTTCAAATACTTCTAACATTTGACTGACTCCTTTTTAAAAATAAAAATGTTACTGTGTTTACATAACAACTATCCATTCAATCCACTGATATAATATATATATATGTTTAATATCTGATATTGGATTCTTTAATCCACAAGAAAGATATTTTATTTATCCAAATAAAACTGACAAATAATCTGTACACCATGTTCTTAAATAAGTTTAAAACAAAAGAATGCTAAAAAACAAACTTATTACTACTTAGGAATTTAAATATAACACACCAATGTAACAGTGTTTTAAACTTTGTGAACAAATCATAAATGTATTTAGATGAGAAACACATTAGTTGAACAATTTGTCAACTTTTTAGGTCAATTACTGCCCATAGTAATGGTGTGCACCTTTAAGAAATTATACTAATGTTTATGATCAGAGTGAATAAAAAACTGTTACTCTGTTAACCACATAAATGAAGTATAAAACTACTTTTGAACTGTTTGTTTTTTGTGAAGGGAAAGGCCTGCTGCCATACCAGTAAAAGTCAAAAGTATAGATGATACTTCAAATTTTGATGAATTTCCAGATGTAGATTTGAAGATTCGTAAGTAGTCTTTTTTTCGTATATAACCAATTAGACTTGCATGTAGAATTCATTTCTGTTATTTACAAATTACATCCGATATTGTTTGTGGGTTTTGCTTAAACCTTCATGAAAATGAAGAAACAGAACCACTAAACAGCAGGTTCTATAGCTATTCATTAAGGCAAAGAAGTCATGCTGTAATCAATATAATCCCTAACTATTTGTTAAAGACAAGAAGATATGTCATAACAAATAAAATTAAAATTCTTTAATAAGCACGATCTCTAAACATTCACAAGAACAAAGTCAATTTTTTGTAATCAGTAGAACCCCTGACTAGCTGAGGTAACTTACCAACTCTGGGGCATGGTGTGAAATTGATCTGATTAAAAAATTGCTTTCAATGTTTGTTTATAAAACTTTTAAAATTTAGGTGCTCAACTGTAATTTAATTTTTCTTTTCTTTTTTACACTTTTTACATTGAACCAGCTAAGGAGAAGAAGTGTCATTGACCATTTAATATACTTATCATAGCTAAAACTGAAATGAAAAAGTAAATAAATTATGTCCAAAAATTCAGAGCAGCATTTCATTGAAGTTCACCTCTCCTATCAGTGACCTTGGATGAAATGTTTTTTATTTTATATATTAAATATAACTTTCTCTTATTCCAGTATTAGTCATAATAAGAATGAAATTAAGTTTGTTTCCATGCTTGTGATTTGTAAAATTTACTATTTACATCTTTGTGACTGTTTGACTGTAAAGATAATTTCTCAAAGTATTCATATGAATTGTAAAAAGGATTTGAATTTACAGTATGTAATAGCAAACTAAGTCATAATGAAAACTGGAATTTACAAAATAAATCAATGGTAAAATAAGAACACCAGTTATGTTAATTTATGCACAAGTCAACAAGAATGATAAACATTTGTTTTAAAGAAAGTTTTTAATGATGGTGTGAAATTTTTATGTTAGGCTGTGTGGAGAGGTTTTAAAATATATTTTGGCAAACATTCAATATTTCATTTTCAGTTATACAAGTCATTCGTACACTAGGTGTTTGTATGAATTAGTTGGACAATGTATCTAACTACTAACATTTTCAGAAAATAAATAGCTAAATAATAATTAATTCATACTTAAACAATATGCACATTAAATAAAGAAAAACATTTCTTATGGTCGGTTTTTAAGGTTGAAAAAAAACGTTAAAAACTGAAATTAGGAGAATTTTATTATATATATATATATATACATTGAAAACTAGGAGGTATTCATTCTAACTATGGCTATTGTAAAAAATTCTGTCTCAAAAACAATTGTATAGATTGTTACAATGTTTTTCCAAAATTTGTCTACATTGTAATAAATAGGTTTACAAAACATGCTGTTGTTTTCTAGGTTTTTAAAAGCCATATGTTTGAAATATCAGTAGTTAGTCCCTAAATAAAGATATCTTTCATACACTTTTCTTTCTTTCCTGCCAAACAATTCAAATGACTTGTTTTTTTGCACTTCTTTTGCCACAGAAAACAAAAATTGGAAGACCCTTGATTTGTTAGCCCTTCTTAAAGTCCCCCAGTGGGTCAGTGGTTAGTTTATGGACTTACAATGCTACAATCTGGGGTTCAATACTCTATGGTGGACAGAGAACAGAAAACCAGTTGTGTAGCTTTGTACTAAAACACACAAACAAATCTTCCTGAAAAGTACTATTTTTTTCAAATTTTAGAATAGGTAGAAAAATTCCCATAATGCTTTCTTCAAATCGTTAAGCTTTTGCTGTTATTTACTTTGCTATAAGATATTTTATGCTGAAATATTTTATGGAGAAATCCTTACTAAGGAACATATAATACTGTAAATGTACACTACAAGTATGAGACATCCTTAGTAATAACCTGGCACATGAGCAGAAATTTCTGATATATCTCATATTTAAACTGTGTTGTATTCCAGCAAAAGTTTAAACATGATATCGAAACAAAATCAGCAAAAATAGTTATAAATCTTCTTTACTGTCTTGTGTATAATCTTGATAGTCACTATGTACTATGTCAGTTGAAATACATGTACTAAACATACATCTTACCTTTACTGGCTTGTGTATAATCTTGTCATTACA